AGTGAAATTCATCGGTACGTTTTCACTGCAAACAGACTATAGTGACAAAAAAGATCTTATAAATTTGATGTTGAACCATTGATGAAGTTTCACTGTCAACACACTTTTGTGTGATAATGTATATGAGGTCTCTCAGGAACCTTTATGTCAGATTTCAGTTTCAATCATAATAGTAGGATAATGTATCATTTGTACATGACATCCCGTTTTCTATAGGTTCAGTTGGATGTTACTGACTCCACTCCACTCCGCTCCATTCAACCATCTCTCTAGAAAATTGTAATGGTTAAGTATGTCATAAAGTTTGCATTTCTCTCCAAATCAGTTTTGTTGAGTAAAGAAATGAGTTTGTGATAAAAGTCTTGAAGCAAATACTTCATGGCTCAGAGATTTGGAGTGTTATTTGCCCTTGGGACAGGGACACAATCCTAAAGTATTGTCACCCCAGCATGACTGTTTTATGTCCTTGAAGCGTTTTTAACTCATCATGCTAACACAGCGTGTAAATGTCCTTGCTTTACAGCACTGAATATCCTCATGATACAGATACTATATGTCCCTGTTTACCAGTACCTTCTTGTAATGTATACCATTGTATACAGTGTACTAGTTTACTAACTACTGATCATGCTGATAGCAGGGTATGAAACTCCCAAACATTTCAGCCAGACCAAAGGGCTGGTTTAGATGTAAAACCCTGACCAAACCTTACCTGCCGGGAGTGCCCACAAAATATCTACATATACATATCTAAATTTTAACCCGACCGTGGGGCAAGTGAATTTGAGAATCTGGTAGTCTATGTTGAAAATAACCCGTCCCAGGCGGTCAAGGCAGGTCAGGCAGGCCGGTATTTCGAACGCTGCTGAAAGTGATAGCATCACACACAACTAAACAAAGGTCCAGGAAGGAAAACCTGTTGTGTGTCACTGTTGAAGTTTATTTCTGGCCATGGTATTGTTTTTCATTGTGTCTGCATATACCAGTATCAAGCTCAAATAGATACTTTTAACATTCTCACAATGAAATAAGTAAAATGGCTTCGTTGATGCATTTGTAAAGTATCTTGTAGTTATCATCCATATGAGGGTATTTATGACGCAAAAATGTGCATCCTCTACTAGTGGTGTTCCTATTAATTGAAATAATTGAAGATTGGTCGCAGTGACCAAACGACCAAGCAATCGATCACATTTTCTCTTAATCGAACATAAAGCGATTTTGGAACTACTGTTTTAGTCTTTGAAATACTTGACAATGGAACATATCTTAGAAGTTAGTCAGGGTCTGAAAACATGTTTATTTCTTAGAAAACTCACTTCACTAACTGAAAAGTCATGACTGAATGTTTCTCTAAGACTCCAGGAAGTTTATGTTCATGATATATTAGTCATCACTTCAACTTTAATGTAGCAAGTTGCAACATGTTATACTTTTCTGCAGTAACAACCTGGATAGGAAAATCTGAAAAATGACGCTAACCAATTTTTTCCGATGATTGTTCGTTGGTAAAATTGTGAGATTTCAACCAATTCCCAACGCTATCCTCAACACAAATGTATAGAATGGATGCACAGAAATAAAGGCTTGCATCCCAAGGGATGCACAATAATTTTCTTCTAAGTCCTGGAATTAAAATGACTATCAAATTTGACAGTATGCTACTCTAGTTCGTCACTTCACAAGAACCTCATATTTGCAGTAAGGACCCCTGAAATCAAATACTGAGTGGCCCTTGGACTTGTTTTCATATCACAAGTACGCACTCGCAAAGGTAGCCGGGAACCAGGTTAGTATTGGAAGTAGCGCCTTGCGAGACTTACAGGCCCTATTAAGATGACTTTCAAATTCTGCAGTATTCTTTCTACACTAATTCGTCACTTCACAAGGAGTGAAAACCCTGCCTACAAATGCTCTTATCCTATACATTTTTCATATTAAGCTGAAATTATTATGAGGGCATCCCTCTGCATTCAGAAAGACTAACCAGTTGATGAAATCATAAATATCTTGGAAACGTAATTTGTTTTGAACACCATCTGTTGAGTATGTTAAATGCCATGTGTACAAATTGAATGGTTACAAGATAGCACATGGCTGAAGCAGTTAAATAGTTCATGTAACAGGTTTGCACAGATAGTTTTGCATTGCATTGTGCTAAATTAGCTTTCAAAATTAATTTTATAAGATGTTTATTGGATGGGATGAATTGAATCATTCAGTCCAAAAATATTTGATTGAGCTTTCATTCTGTGATATATTGGCTGTCTGGGTGTTATGCCCTGGTTATTAATACACAAGAGCATTTATTAAACACCACCTGAACCCAAGGGCAGTTTTTACTATTTTGTTCCAAACATGTGATCATGCCCTAGAATACATACTACCGGTAGGATGCAGATGTAAAACATGGCCTTCACACATTTCAAAAGTCAGCGGTCTTGTTTTCATGTACAGTGGAAATAACTTTAAAATTGATAGTGTTCTCACAGTACAGTGGCACATGTAAAGTTACTTGCCCTGATAATTTTTCTACTTTACCGACTGTTTCCTGCTGATTTTTAAATAAACAACATAATTAACATTGGAAGGTCAACTGGACACCGGTACAGTGTGATATACAAATTTGCTTGCCCGACAGAAAAAAACACTGGACTCAAACGTCAGGCAATGGGTTATTTCCACCCCTTTTTCAGAAAATCCACCATGGCAAGTTACTGGCATGCATGATGCAAGGATGTATTGTCACGGCATCAGATCTTACTGGAACACTAACCACTCAGCTATTGATCAACTTGTGAGGAAGCACGTAGCTATCAGTGAAGTAAAGGATCGCCCCAAACCTGGAAGACCCAGTCAAGACGCCATGCCCCATGCCAAAGAACTGCACTGATAATGAAGAGTGAGAGAGTCCAACCCTCTGCCAGTACCAGTAGGAGGCAGCTGGCAGCTGGTCCAATCATATGTACCTTCCTTACAGATAGTCATGGACACTGACGTCTGGCACAGAGAAGTCTCCCAGAAATCAACAACATGATGGCATGTCATTGTGTTCATTTCTCTGATGAAAGCTGCCATCCTGTGCTCATTACCGATGGAGATGATCTATGTACCATTTGCAGAATGCCACAAGGAGCCCTATGAACCCCACTGAACATCTTTAGGACTATCTTTGGTGCAAAGTTGAAGCTAGAAACTCTCCTATTCAAAATCTGCAAGGATTGATGCAGGCACTCCATGTGGAATGCCAAAGTATGCTGATGGTGTGAATTGGATGCTTGATTGCCAGCATGAGAACACTGGCAGAAGATATCTGTCCGGTCATCATTGGTGGTTCATTCAATCACAACAATCACTATTTGTGAATTGTGTGACTATCAGAATGGTGGCATAGTTATGGTGACAATACTTTCCAGCACTGTTGATATTTACGCATTCCGCTCAGATTGCAAGTAAACTGTTACCTTATTTCAATTTCAGATTTCTGGGTTTTTTAAAAGAGTAAAATATGTTTCAGTTGCCCGGTACCTCTTTATATGCAGAATTTGGTTTTCAAAGCATATACAACAAGTTGTAGTGTCTTCGTACTTATCATGATCATGTAATAAATGTGGGTGGCGCTGGATTAATGCTGTGTATATGGTTTCATGTGTATTGTCAGCTGTCATGTTTGGGTCAGGCCAAAATGTCTGTACATAGGACCCGTGACAACTATGCTACCATATTATCTTGCAGGAAATATTGTCAATGGTTGTTAACTCATCTTGGATTGTACATAACTGATATAACATTATATATTTTCTTCAAGAATATCTTGAATCATGAGACTAAGGGTTAAAGAAACAATGTTGGATATGTTCAAGAGAAAACTGACATGGGTTTTGGTTTTCTTTTCTCCAAGAACCATCATCCTTTTTTCTGTATGGGAAGTTCCAAAGGTCTGGCTAATTAGAAAATGCAATAGGTTAAGATTGGTTCGGCAAGTGGTAGTGGTACCTCCTCCAATTAAAGCCAAGAGTGAACATATTTGAAGCTGGATCATACATACGGAAATACTGCTGTGTCTATAATATTAACAATTGTTACACTCACAGCACTAAGCATGGAAGTCAACATGGAATCTGTGTCATTATTCTCACGTTGAGATAAAAGAAATTACTAGACCTGTGATATACATACTGTAACAAGCAAATGCTATTGATCCCATAGTCCCTTCCTCCTAACAAGTAACATGGCTTTGAAATTTTGCACAAGTATTTTTAACTCTGGACAGGAGAATTTTGACACTTTTCGTTCCTGGAAAGCTATTACTGGTCATATGAAAGCTGAGTCGAGTCGGTGTCAAGTAGTTCGATGAAATTGGCCTCAAAATATGCTTAACATAGCTGCAAATTATGACTGCTTCAGGGATTGGGATAGAACACTTTGACAATGGGCCATTTTCTGGATTATGACCCATATTCTGAATTTAGAATGGGCCACTGCCCTTGTATCAATAATAAATTTCAAAATTTTAATGGTGCCATTTTTTTTATTCTAATGTGCTTAATGGACCATGGCCCCTGCCTTTCCCTATCCCTGCTGCTTGTTTTTCATCCATCTTTCCAGAATCAGTGAGTTTCCATGATTTGTATCTAGCCTACAAATGCCAGTTTTGGATCGTGATGTAAGTGATGTGTTTGATTAAAGATAGCAGCTATTTGACAGTAAACACTGGAAAGTATGACATTTAAATGACAATTGTTGTGTGAGTGTTCAGCTGGTGGGTTGGAGGGTAAATACACATGACCCAGCTGGTGTTTTGTATTTACTCTATCTAGAAGGCAGACATTCTTACTAACAATTATAATCAGGCTCCAAACTTAGCTGGCTCCAGCCCTAACACTCAGTGGTTAGCCTACTCTTTGGAGGTTTTGCCATGTATATCTGTAAGAATGACTGACTTATAAAAGTTTTATTTGATTGAATTCCTTCAGTTTAAACTTTTCTATCCATTTCAGGCAAGAGGATGATCCGGTGACAGTATGGGCGACGTATTTATCCAAGCAGTGTTTGGTCTGATCAAGGCAGTGGTGTTTGTCTATGACGTTGTGGCGTACATCCCATACTATATCGCATACAGACCACAGGCCACCCTCAACAGATCCAAAAGGATGAAAGTAGGTCAATAAGCATTGATAAATTGTAGATTTCAAATGAGAACAATATTCAAATTCTTATTCAACATGTTAAAAAGCATGTTTGTAAACAGTGTGTTATTTTGATTCTCTTAGATGAAAGAAAACAGTGACATCACAGATACTCTTATTTTGAACTAAGCTTCTACAGCTCATAATATCAGGAAGCATCAGAATTTTCCCTTTCTGCCCTTCTAGCTGACTACTATATCATACTCAAGACAACATCTAATAAAGCTAATAGTTCAGTTGTGAATATACTGAGAGCTCATTTGTAAGTAGATTAGTCTAAGTTGATTTCAGAAGATGCTTTATCACATGTTCACACCGTAAGGAAAACAGTAATAAATTTGATCAAACTGCCATATTGGAATGTATCATACTTGCAGCAAGGATTAAAAAACTATAACGCTGAGCTAAAAAGCCATTCACGCAGAACCCCTTTCCATGTTTTGAGATATAGGACACTGGAACTACATGTCATCTCAAACATGAGAGTTAATATACTCAGCAGCAAAGAAAATGTCAGTACGAATTCAAACTTAGATAGGCACTGTAATCAAATCATTACAGAAATGGACATAATATGCGGATCGAAAACTTTTTTGTGTACAATATCTTGACACATCAATGCATAACTCACCACAATTCGAAGACATTAAGTGAACGTTTGCAGTCCATTCAGACTCTTGACTTCAGTATCTAGTGTGACCACAATGAGCGGCAATAACTGCAGCACAGCATCTATGCATGGAGTGCACCAATCGATTGATGAAGGTCATGGGCACCTGGAAACACACTCTGAGAAAAGCCTGGCACAATACATCGGCTGTGTTCGGTCTTGGTATGACATTATTCAGTCTCCTCTGAATTTCATCCCAAAGCTGTTCAACTGGGTTTAAATCAGGACTAAGGGCTGGCCACTGCATAATCTTGACACCGTTCTGCTGTAGGAAGTCCCGTGTAGCTCTGGCAGTATGGGCCCAGGCGTTATCATGCTGGAAAATGTTGTTTTGGTGATGTGCGCAATGTGGTATGATGTGGGGCCTGAGAGCTTGGTCGATGTAGCGCACCGCTGTGATGCCGCCTCCTCTCCCTGGACCAAGGTTCTGGAACACAGGACCCACTCTCTGGTTCAGGCCTATTCCACCCCATACCATGATGCTTGCACCTCCCCATGAGTCTCTTTCCATAACACATTGGTCTGATTAACGCTGGCCACGTCGTCATCATATTCTTGTTCTGGCATCTGCAGTTGATACGCAGTGCCGACTCTCATCTGTGAATAGAACAGTTCTCCATTGCCTGTATCGCCAGTTTTGGTGTTGTAGAGCAAACTGTAGACGTTCACACCGATGACGAGGGGGTAAGGTCTACAGCAATGGAGGTTCACGCTGTTAAGACATCGGTGTACTGTATCAGTACTGATTGGTCTTCTGTGTGTTCCCACTGTCGAGTGTGCTGTTTCAGATGCCTGCATGTAAGGATTCTGTACATGCTGTCGCACAACATGGCGGTCTTGTCGTCTTGTGGTCACCCTTGCTCTGCCAGTACGGGGGCGATCATTTGTTGTGTGGGTGGCCCGGAAACATTGCTGCAGCCTGTAGAAGGTCCGAACATTGACCTGGAAGTGATTGGCAACGGCTTGTGCAGTGTGGCCAGCTTCAAGTTCAAGTCTTCCTAGCACCTGGTTCCTCTGAGCTGTCGTCGCAGCATCCTGCTGACGTTGTAATGTGAATGTTTCAACCAGGTTTTAGGGTGCATTTTATGGGGCTGGTCCTTGTGAACAGCACGTGCAGCAAGAGTTATATGAAAGACATGGAGAACAGCATACCATCTCCGAGATCAGGTTGCGTTTTTGAGACCATTTTCTGGGTTCCTTTCTGAGTTTGGGAAGGAATGTCTTTGCTCAGGTAAAGTTGGAGATGTTGTCAAAAATATACAATCAAAACATTTAAATGAGTTTATAGTTATCCGTTTCTGCGAAGGAAAATTCCAAACTGACGTTTCTTTTGCTGCTTAGTATATATCGGGAAAAGATGGACAGGACAGCACAGGGTGAATTTTATATGTGTAATTCTTAGGATATGAGACTTGCTACAAAACAAGCACTGCAACAGGTTTGGCACATCTCCAATAGTTGTTTCTGTTTCCTTGCTGGGATGGGGAAAATTCTAAATCTAGACAAAGCATCTCTCAACAATTTAAGAACTTCCGAATCAGTCAAAGGACATGCAAGATAAATATGTGACGAATCATTTAGCTTAGTCTGAAGTGTTTGAAGATGAGTAACGGATTGCATCCTGTGAGGTCACTGTTACGACAGAGTTGTTCACCTCTCACATGTCCAGTGAAGGAGGTGTTTCCTCTCCCTGCACTTGATACATTGTACAGATAGATGCACAGTCGGGACAGTGCTACATGGTGGATGGAGAACATCTGCGTAATACTGGAGCTCTGGGTATTGTGTTACAGCCCCATATGTGGCTTACTGTGACAGATGACTTGTTCCATCTCAAGGCTTTGAAATGATGGTAATTCTGCTAGTCCATGACCAAATATTCAGGAAGGACCAGTGATATTTCCTTGTGGACTACAAATTTTAAAGTAATGTGGAAGAGAGGTCTGTGGAAGAGCAGTTTTGAAGACTACAGAAAATAAGCCACTGAGTGTGTGTGTGTATGCCTGTGTGCATGCACACATGCGAAAAATATTTTCCATCCACAGCACCAACCTTCTGATTTAGTTTAATGACTTAGCTTGTAACATCTGTCCAATGAGAATTTTCCTAACATGAGACTGGTGCACTGGTTGTTTTGTATTTAATTGAGTTTCAAATGAGTTCATTTTCTAGGATATTGATCATGTTGGTATGCTATCAAAATTGATAATGTTTGTAATGATATAGATGAATGTTCTTTGAAATGTATTATTGTTAATAGGAGACATAAAATGCCACAATGCCATGTGTGTGTTACTGCTAAATGATAAAATACTATTTATGGTGTTACATTGTTATAGTTTGGGGTCTCAGTATTGTATGGTGTACAGTTGAAAATTTTGATGTAATCTTCATAATCTTCATGTGTGACAAAGTGTCCAGTTGCTGAAGATCTCTTATATGAACGAATATGCTAATTCTCCTCCAGTTCACTTTTTTGCAACTAACAGCTTCAACTTTTCCTGATGGAAGTATGATTTGTCTTGATATATTTTTTCACTCAACCGTGTATGCTTGATACTATGATAAGGCATTGCCATGCTTCACTTTCTCGTATTTCACACCATACAATATTTCCATGACGTTGATGATGATGATGATGATGATGATGATGATGATTTCTGTCCTCAGGCTACTCCAGTAGATGGGTCCTATGGGTCCCCTTACCGTTATGCAGATAACAGCACACTTACAACCAGCCTATTTCCGGAGTGCAGCACTCTAGATCATCTGTTCCTGCGGGCTGTCCAGCTGCACACAGACGGACCATGTCTCGGTACACGGGAGCTGCTACGCGAGGAAGATGAGGTCCAGCCCAATGGCAGAGTATTCAAGAAGGTACAGTACCACTTACTCTCACACAAACTAAGTGAAATTTCATAAGGCTATAGAGGTGGACATTGAATTGTTAGTTTTTCGAGTGTGTATGTTGATGTTTGCTTAAATGATTTTCGCATATTCCAGGTGCTGCTGGGCGATTATAAATGGCTCACCTATGCACAAGTGTTTGAGCGAGCTACCAACTTTGGCAGTGGTGTATTGGCTTGCTCACAGAGACCAAGGAAGAACATTGTGATATTTGCAGATACCCGTGCCGAGTGGATGATTGCAGCACAGGCCTGCTTCAAGTATAACTTTCCAGGTATTTCAATCAGCCAGAGACGAAAGTGGGAAAGAAGCCTGAGACTTCAGCTGCTAGTCTGATGCCCATGTCTAGTAACAATCTGTTTGGTCCAGTTAAGATTTTGAGGAAATGTTATCCGATAAATGCTATATTACTAACGCTGTAACGATTCATTTGCGGTAAATCAAACTGTATCCCTTCATGAATACAACTTGTTATTAGCAATCACTGGAATGGAATATATCATTATATATTTTTTAGAAATGGAGTGTTTTCACTTGAATTTGGGTGTTATTTATCAAAATGATGTATGCAAAATGGAATATATCCAAGCCAGGTAGAATCATAGTCAACAATCTTATGTATTTAATTTGACACTAATGTGGTCACTAGTCATTGTGGATTTGTTGTAGCCCCAGATAACTCTGACATTTCCTGAAGATGGTAACAGCTAAGTTTGGTCTGGTGGGCTCAAGAAATTAGGACACAGACTGGGAAAGGGGCTTAGTTGTGGCATCTCTTGTTTACTGTTACCTTATTTACACAGTTCATATAGAATAAAGCGTAAGCTCTTCCTGCTATCGGTCCTGTTTTATATGTTTAGTGTTTAAAACAGCTATGTAGTGTTTAAAAGTTTGAAAGTCCTTTTGGTCATTGATGCTTTCATTAAGTTTTTGAGATAAGGGTCTAGATTAAGACACGGGCACTTCACCTTAGGTTTCATTCTGATTTTAAACTCTCCTATGTTTAATAATAAAGAAAAGTATTAATGACAGTTATTAGCATTTGTTTGAAAAACAAATTGCAGTATATTTTGTTCTGACATTTTGTTTGCTGTTTTCAGTGGTGACGTTGTATGCCACGCTAGGACAGGATGCAATTGTCCATGGCATCACAGAGTCGGAGGTGACACATGTCATCACATCAGACAGTCTTTTGTCCAAGTTTGAGGTAGGAGTGCTGCAACATTTGTAACTTCCCCAAGGGGATTTCTGCTTGTTTTAAAAGGCGACTGTGGATTCGATGGTCAGGCTTAGCAACATGCCTAATTGCATGTCCTTGTACTTTGGCAGTTGTTCACAGGAAATGGGGGGCATATAGGTTTGAGCTCTGTCCATCCGTCCGAGAAAGGACTATAGATAATGATTTGGAATGTGTTTTCAGGACATGTATGCCTTGATGGAATTCGAAAACGGAAACCATGTTACAATATGTTACAGAGTTATGTCCCTTATCATGCATTTCTTGACTTAGTTCACGGTATCCCCAATGGGGACAGATTTTCTCAGAAACCGTTATAGATAAGGAAATCAAATTTGATGTGTGTTTCCAGGACATGAATACTTTGATGAAGTTCCAAAACGAAATCTGTTACAATTTGTTACAGAGTTATGTCCCTTGTCATGCATTTCTTGACTCATTCGCAACTACTCGTCCCTTTCCGTAACCTGAAAGAAGACTCGTACTCCTCTCATAGCCATTTTACTGAACTTGACTCCGTCTGAGCTCAAATATCGCAGAGAGAAAGAAATGGTCTAGTCGCCAAACTATTTTCAAGGGCATGTAACTTGTTATTTGGAAAACAAACATGGCATCCACGCCAAGGAAATTACCTCAAAGGGTATGTTTAACATGCTTAAATACTTTCCTACACCATCATGTCAATATATCCTCGTTATGAAAATTCAGGAAACCCAGGAGGACTATGCAATAATTAAAATATACTTCAAGTGTCTGGAAAAAAATGATGCAAGCCGAAATGAAAATTATTTCACCTAACTATATCGACCCAATTTCTTCTCTACTTACACGCATTCTGATTGGCTGGGGGAATATTTCTGGCTACGAGAGGGGTACGAGTGTTCTTTCAGGTTACGGAAAGAGACGAGTAGTTATGAATGTTCTTGACTTAGTGCATGGAATCCCTAATGGGGACAGATTTGCTCAGTAGCCGTTATGGATAGGGAAACAATTTGGTATGTATTTTCAGGACACAAATGCCTTGATGGACTTCGAAAACGGAAACTGTGTTACAATTCTTTACAGATTTATGGCCCTTGTCATGTGTTTCTTGACTTAGTTCACGGTATCCCCAATGGGAACAGATTTTCTCAGTAACCATTATAGATAAGGAAACCATATTTGGTATGTGTTTTCAGGACATGAATGTCGTGATGGAGTTAAAAAACATTAACCTATGGCGGGAGATATTGATTACCATGTCTTGTTAATCACTGGATTGTTGGCCTAGATTAAGTTCTTTACAGAACAAAGTTCTATAGGATGTAATATTTCTGAGTACTGTGTATAACAACCGACAGTAATAAAAGCGAACAATTGCATGTCTGTGAATAATGTCACTGTGATTTGCAGTGTTTGATTGCTATATGGGTATTTCATGGTCCTTCTTGCCCATAAACATATGCACAGACAGATAGAGGGGAACCTTTAGATTTCCAGAAGTCTCCAGAGCAAGCGTTTTCAAATAAAATAAAGGCATTCATGCATACAGAAGATTGCTGTGCACCTGTTTGTTTCTTCTGTCTATTCTGTGTATGCCAGTTTCTAGTGACTCACCTGATTGTGATGACCGGGGGCCAGAAACTGCCTGCTGTCCAGATTGTCTTGTAGATCTATTCATTGCTTCTATTATCCACAATCCAACTGTAATGTGTATGTTGTGTGTGCCAGGGTCTGATGGACCGAATCCCTCTGGTGACTCACCTGATTGTGATGACCGGGGACAAGAAACTGCCTGCTGTCAAGAACTTTCCCAGTCGGGTTAAGGTGCTCAGTATGACAGATGTGGAGTACATGGGAGCCCAACCAGAAAACTGTAAGTGCCATTTCTCTCATAAAACACAGTACCAGTTTTTCACTTATCTTGCTTTTGGGGTCCGAAATCTTTCTAAACATAGTGCATAGATTGTTTCTTAGGGGCAGTCGCCGCCGTGTAGCTGGAATATTGCTGAGTGCGGCGTAAAAGTAAACTCACTCACTCACTCTTAAGGCAGTCAACTGATCCCTTGGTTTCAGTATCTTGGGTATCTTCAAACTGATGAGTAGAAACATTAGAAATACAAATTCTGCTCAAAATTTGGATTTAGGTGACTATTACTCTGTTCATATTGCCCCGAGGGTGTAACCTGTTGCATTAATTCACAAAAGCATTATACAATGATAGACGAGTGAGCATGCAGCTACACTATTGGGTGTTTGAAAGTTGTCATCCATATTTGTACAGAAGCTGCTCAAAATCATTTGAGTAGTATTGATTCATTTTTCATGTTGTATATAAATATGCAGCTGAACTGTTCTAGATAGTGTTGTTTTTCTCAGTAATCTAGGGACAGTAGGTCATAATAGATTATATATTAATCTTTTGCCTTACTACCATGCGGGCAGTGGGGTAGCCTAGTGGTTAAAGGGTTTGCTTGTCATGCCAACGACCTGGGTTCGATTCCCACATGGATACAATGTGTGAAGCCCATTTCTGGTGTCCCCCGCCATGATATTGCTGGAATATTGCTAAAAGCGGCGTAAAACTCAGCTTCTTACTCTCACTCACTACTACCATGCACACCACCTTACGTCATTGTAATGTCCCATAGCAATTACAGATAAAGGAAATCTATGCATGTGTGTTGCTTTGCTTCTTTTCCTGAAATATGCTATATACAATGTTTATATGTTTCAGTGCAAACCCCTGTCACTCACCCAAGTCGAGAAGACATAGCTGTCATCATGTACACCAGTGGCTCCACAGGGTTACCCAAGGGTTAGTTAGCTATTGACTTTGGTTCACATAACAATCAGCAATATCATTGATGACCACATACAATTCACTGATTGTTGACAGTGCTGCTCCATGATCCAAAACCGCCTCCATGGTGAAGTGGTTAGAGCGTCTGCTTGGAGAGTGGAAGGTCGCGGGTTCGATCCCTGACCGCGTCATACCAAAAGATGTTAAAATATGGTACTTGTTGGTCCCTGCCTGGCGCTTGGCATTAATGGGTACACCAAAGACTGGTCGGCTCGGAGTCAGTATAATGTGTCTGAGTGGGGTATTCATGCTTCACTGCGACATGGTATCTCAGTGGGCTAGCACTATAACACCAGCTTAAGTCTGGGCTAGTACAAGCAGCCACACATACACATAAACACGCATGCACGTCGTCATTAGAGCGAAATATTCTCAAGCACGGCGTAAAACCCAATTTCACATCACCTCACCTCCATGATCCAAAACAGGCAGGGCTCTGTTCCATGAAACAATCTTTGCTCTAAGGTAATTCTAACTCCCATACTACACCGACTTCGAGATCGCCTCTCAGGTCTTTGGATTTGGCTGAGAAAATGTTGACAGCCTCAAGAAGTTTAGAAAGAAATACACAGGTGTCTTTGTTTTCCAGACAACAGATGGATTTAGATGTGTCATGATTACACTGACTGCTTGGATTTACATGTTGTTAGAAGCAGGCCATTGTGTGTGAATTTGCCAAAGTGGTAACATGCCTGAGACATGTGCTGTACTTCCTCATCATTTGACAGAGTGGTGGGGTAGCCTAGTGGTTGAAATGTTTGCTCGTCGTGCTTAAGACCCAGGTTTGATTTCACACAAGGGTACAATGTGTGAAGCCCATTTCTGGTGTCCCCTGCTGTGATATTGCTGGAATATTGCTAAAATGGGATGTGCCTTTAAAAGTGTTTCACAGCCGGTTGAAACCTATGGTCACTGGTATGAAGTCCAGATTAGCTCTGATTATTGTTCTAGGTTCGACAGCGCCATACCCTTACATAGGACTAAGGTTTTACCAAAGAGATATATGTCTGATTCAGACTTACAAGCAAACAGATCGTAATATCTATGAAATTCTGTTTGTAACAGCATCAAGTCCAGCTCACTGACTCCCACTTTGCATTAGTTTTGAACTTGTTCTGAACAAACTTTGCCCGACATGAAGTCTGATATTTTTGTTGCAGGTGTTCTTATCAGCCATGGCAACCTGATGGCAGGCATGTCTGGCCAGTGTGAACGGATACCAAATTTGGCGTAGGTGATCCTTCAGATATTGAAGTTCAGATATTTCTCCTCGCTTATATTCATATGTTCTATGGGGTGAGTGATGGATGATTTTAAGGGGGGGTTCACCCATTTTGTTCAGAGGAGGTAGGGGGGCCAGCAATTTTGTACATAATATATGCATACATAATATTTCATGCTGTATCTTTTTCATGGGGACCTTTCATAATTTATAACTAAGGAAGGTGATGATGATTCTTATGAAGAAGCATGTACAATTTTTTTAGCATTATCTTTAATATTTTATATTTTGCAGTATGAGTTATTGGTTTTTGTGATTTCAGACCACCAGACATCTACATTGGTTATCTCCCCTTAGCTCATGTGTTGGAACTCAGTGCAGGTACGGAGAAGTAATTCTTTGGAGTTTCTTGGACAATTTATCTGGATAAAATTCATGGATTTTCTGAATAAGATACGGGTTGTCAGTAATTAACATGAAATCTGTCCATCTTCATTCTTATACACGCAGTGTTTAACTCTTTCATAATATATTTCATGAATTGAGAAATCTGTTGGTATTGACTATTGTACAGTATGAAGTACCTGAAGTATGTCATAAAGTGGTTTACATAGAAAACCACTGGCAGTCCCAGATAAGATTCCAAGGACAAGTGAAAAGTGATTGTATTCACCTGTGACCTGTGAGTAATATATTGATACGTGTGTTGTTGTTCCAGAGCTGTCCTGTGTTGCCCATGGTGTTTGTATCGGCTACTCCTCCCCTCTTACTCTCACGGACCAGGTACAGTATGCTTACTATGACAACAATAAAAACAGTTTTGCTTTTAAATATCATGTCTCACTTTGAAAATGGATAATAAAATTAAAATAGTTTCCGCTAACTGTAGGGGACTAGCTGACAAACAAAAGAGAAGAGAGATTATGAACATTTGGAGAAAACGTAAAGCCACCGTTATATGCCTGCAAGACATACACATCTCTGAAAAAGACGAGAATACCATGAGGAATGAATGGGGTTTGAAATGTATCATATCACCATTTCGGTCAAATTCTAGAGGTGTTGCAATATTGTTTAACAATGATAGAGAGATCGATATTCATAAATATAAGAAAGATGAGAATGGTAATTTCATCATTGTTGACATAAGTATCGATGGTATAAGAATAACCCTAGCCACTATCTATGGCCCTAACCAAGATACTTGAGATTTTTATAGAAATCTATTTAATCAAATTGATGCATTCGATAATGAATCAATTGTGCTCTGTGGTGATTGGAATGTGGTACTTGACCCAACTATAGATCTAGAGAACTACAAACATATTAATAACCCTAATGCAAGAAATATTATTTTGGAAAAAATAGATCAACTTAACTTGACAGATATCTGGCGTGATCTTAATAGTAATACGAGAAAGTATACTTGGTGGAAAAAACCCTAGACAGCAAGCCAGGTTAGATTTTTGGTCTCCCACGATGTTGGTTGTATGACAGTAGACACCGAAATTCTTCCTGGTTATAAATCTGACCATTCTACCATAACACTTACTTTTCAAATAATAATAACACAAGAGGAAAAGGCTACTGGAAATTTAACACCTCTTTACTGCGAGACAAAGAATACATAAAAATAGTAAGGACCGAGATAGAACTAGCCAAACAGCAATATACATTTAATAACTATACCGAAGATATAAAGAATATTGATGAAAATGACTTGCTCTTAAATATCGATGACTGTCTCTTTCTGGAAACTTTGTTGATGAATATTAGAGGTAAATCAATATCCTACAGCTCCTACATTAAGAAATTAAAAAAGAAAAACTAAAAATTGGAAGCCAAAATAACTGATACTGAAGACACAATCCATTAGGAACTTTCAAAATATAGATGAGGCTCTCTTATCTGATCTATCCACATATAAGTTAGAACTTGAAAAAATCAAAGAGGAAGAGGTCAAAGGTATCCAAATTAGAAACAGAATGTTATGGCAGGAAGAAGGCGAAAAACCTTCAAAATATTTTTGTAACCTTGAAAACAGACAATTTACTAGTAAAGCCATTAACTGTCTGTTGTCAGACGACGATGAGTTAATTACTGACGAAAAGGACATTTTGTGTAGGCAAAACAATTTTATCAAGATCTATATGCTGAAAAAGATAACAAGATAGACCACAGTGAAATACTATCTGAACTTAACGTGCCTGTTCTTCCAAGCACTTTGACAGAAAAACTAGAAGAGCCAATAAATATGAATGAAATACTAAATGCCTTGAAATCTATGAAAAACGATAAAAGTCCCGGTATTGATGGATATTCAATAGAGTTTTTCAAATTCTTTTGGTGTGATCTGGGAAAATGGATATTTCGTTATATAAATGAAGTGTTTAAAAATAATTATCTTACTTTAACTATGAACAGGGGAGTAATAACTTGTATACCTAAGCAAGGAAAAGACAGAAAACTGCTAAAAAACCGGCGTCCAATTTCTCTGTTGAATTCCGTGTATAAACTGATTAGTGCTTGCATTACTAATAGATTAAAATGTACCCTCGATTATTTAATACAGGAAAATCAGACTGGCTTTATTCCAGGGAGATGTATTAGTGAAAATATAAGATTTTTCCTTATCCTGACTCATGCTCTTTTGCTTGTCCCCTTCCTCTTGCGAACATAGTGGAACACTTGTATCTCCTTAATTGAAGCTCCCTTCAATGTAAAATCACTAATTGGTACTCACCCACGAGTTACCTCCCCTGCCGTAAACGCGGGAACAGGTGTCGCCACCCTCTGGCCTCATGCTTCACTCTCTCCTTCTTCGCCCAGTGAGCAGGATGTGAGAGCGCCTGTGTCTCCTTACACACTATATCCTTTGGTTTTCTTAGTTAGTTACCTTTTATAGTTTACTATAAAGGTATAGCTAGTATCCTTCAGTTATTTGCATTAATAATTAATCGTATTTCTACTGTTTATTCAATGGAGTTCGCGATTGTTCAGCTAGTTTTACATTGATGAAAAACTGTACTATTTGTAGATTACGCTTTTTCCGCTTCGCGGATCCGCATGGTATGCCCTAGTTGTACTACCTTGTGCGTTTGACTCACGCTGCAGTTACTGCATAAATTTAACCAATTCTGCCTTTGATAAATACCATCTTTGCGCCTTGAGACGCGGTTGCAGATAGGTCACGAAACTAGGTGTAGACATGGCCGATACGCCGGATTGCCCATCCAGTCAACTGCTGTCGAAAGTGATCCCTCCCCGCCTGGTGTTCTGCTTGAGACCCCATCGGAAGAGGGACGTGGGATGCAGTCCGTCACCTCTAAGAAGCGACCGGCCTCTCCAGACATCCAGTCATCGCAGACAAAGTCCAAGAGGGCCTCAACGCCTTCTCAACGCAGACTTCGTACCCCAGGGCAGCCGCCTTCCTCCAAAGGGAAATCTACTTAAGTCATCGAAACTTTCTCAGACGAGATCGCTCCAGCAGCAGAATTGGGCCTCTACGATGACCAGCCTATCATCATACCCGACATACGCCACAAGAAGCTTACCAGTGACAGCTTACAGTGACGCCAGCAGAGATCAACAAGCAGCCTGATGCCTCTACACTGATGTCAGACGAGATCGCTGAGGGCCCCACCGCTAACACAGCAGAAAGGGCACCATCTACTACGCCGCAGATCATCCCAAACGATCTTATGAAACAGATCATGATTATGATGGAAGGCCACTATAGACTGGAGAAGCAGCCATCCCAGGGTCCGAAGCCTTCGGCGGCTCCAACGTGAGACAGCACCCCAGGGGCACCATCTGTCAACGTAGCAGCCACGACAAAAGCAGCCTTCGCGCGAAGGAAGTCACAGACCACCTCGACGAAGGACCCAGATGTACAGCCTTCGCGAAGGCCTTCGGCGGGAAGAATCATCACCTTCTTCGGGCCATACTCAGTTATGGAATCTGATCACCAGACCACACGCAAAGCCTTCGCTAAGGTCATATCATCGCTCCCCAGGACCGGACGATATTTGGCTTTCGCTGGCGCTTCGCGAAGCGACACCTGAACCCAGATCGTCTTCATCTAAAAGATCAGCAAGGACTACACAAGAGCTTCGCTGGCTATCAGTCCCCCATAGATCGCCAAGAAGGTCAACCTATCGATATAGATCACCAAGACGATCACCTCGCCGATCACCACGTCGATCACCTCACAGGTCTGCACATAAGCCTACAACTAGATCTCCACAAGCGTCAAACGATATAGAGATAGAGCCACACAGCCCTACATCAGAAGAGCAACAACCTCTTATCTATGATGATGGAATGGAAGATGATGGAGGAATTATTTTCTCAGATGCAGAGATAAGATATTGATGGTCAATAATCTAGATCTCTCATCACCTTCCAAGAGTGGCAATAAGGCGCAGACTTATCTGATGAAAGAAGATGACGCAGATGCTATTACACTACCCCCAATCGACCCGACATGGGCGGTACCTCAGAACCTAGATACAGCATTTAACAAAGCCACAAAGGTTCAGACGCCACATCTGCCAAATTTCAGCGCCAAGAAGTTCTCCACGCATAATATGGAACCCTTCTTCAAAGCGCAAGACATCGATGAGAACTATAAGCTGATCTCCGATGCCAAGAACAAGTACTACAAGATTGATGATCGGAAATTGGTTCAGATAGAAACCATGACGAAGGCGTATGTTCTTCGGTCTAAATAGATCTAGAACAATAAATGAGACACTTATCTCCAGATTTCGGAACACGACCTCTGAAGATGACAGAATGATTTACTCGGCCCTACTGATGCAAAAGAAGGACCAGCAGTTTTTAACAGATCATCTGACGCCTGTCTCAGCAGCACTGACCTTAGCTCGTCAGTCAAGGCCTCCTAGCTTCCTGCAACTGGGGTGAGAACTTTACAGCTCCACTATATACAGCCCCGTGGTCTTCCCCATCCATATTTGACGGAGGAATAGACACAGTCTCCAAAGAAGTCACCAAGGATTCTAGAGAAGTCCTGATGATTAAATCGATGGACACGCTTAGCCAGTGTCATCCGACAGACTTCACAAAGATACTCAGGGAGATCTAAATTCACGGGCCTACAAAGAGCTAGAGACAGGAAGATTGCCAGTTCCAGGGGAAGAGATTCTTTTCGTCGCCCATATGGCAACTATATAGGAGGGTCAGGACGAGGCAGGACACCCAGAGGTTCCCGCAACTATAAACGCTGAAAGACAGGTTCGAACGACTGAGTCTTCCACCCCAGCCGCTCCAGTACAACCGCCACAAGTGGGTGGACGCCTTCAACTACACTGGGAAAACTGGGGAATACTTCAAGACACCTATGTCTCCAACATTCTTCAACGCTGATTTCGTGATCCCACTACAGGCCAAGCCTCCACTAACAGTCAACCCTCACAAGTTCGAGGTAGAGGCACAACAACTACTAAAGTTAAGAGAGGCGGTTACATTACTCCTAACCAAGCAGGCCATAGAAGTAATAGAGCAAGGAAACATCGAACCAGGTTTCTACTCCCCAGTTTTCCTAGTACCCAAGAAGAACTCCAAGGAGAAATACAGACTCATTTACAACATGAGCTTCTTCAACAAGACTTACTTAAACAGACCACCCAGGTTCACTATGATACATCTACCGCAGCTACGCAGATGATTCGCCCCATGGACTACATGGGCAGTATAGATCTACAAGATGCTTATCTGCACATCCCAATACATCCCTAATCCAGGAAATACCTTCGGGTTTA